TGATGTTGTAAGATAAAACGACGATTTCGTTAACTGGAGCCTTGTTCTTGGAGTCTTAGATGAGGGTTTCGACGTTCTTGTAAAGAGCTTAAGCGTCCTTTAAACAAGTAACAACATCGATCTTCAAGAGGTTCTTGGTGGGCTTGCATTCAGCAGCGATAGACTTAAGAGTAGTAACAGCGGTAGCAACTTAAGTGAAGATTTCTTCGAATTTCTTTTCTTAGATGGCATCCTTAATAGCCTTAATGGTGTTAACTAATCCTTCAGTGTCAACAACGCAACCGTTAAGATCGGGGAAAGTAATAACGGGGATGTGTAAGTTGGCCTTAATACCACAACCATCAACTAAGGGTTATAAAGATTCAATGATGTTGTAAGATAAAACGACGATTTCGTTAATGGGAGCCTTGTTCTTGGAGTCTTAGATGAGGGTTTCAACGTTCTTGTAGAGGGTTTAAGCTTCCTTCAAACAAGTAACAACATCGATCTTCAAGAGGTTCTTGGTGGGCTTGCATTCAGCAGCGATAGACTTAAGAGTAGTAACAGCGGTAGCAACTTAGGTGAAGATTTCTTCGAATTTCTTTTCTTAGATGGCATCCTTAATAGCCTTGATGGTGTTAACTAATCCTTAGGTGTCAACAACGCAACCGTTAAGATCGGGGAAAGTAATAACGGGGATGTGTAAGTTGGCCTTAATACCACAGTCATCAACTAAGGGTTATAAAGATTCAATGATGTTGTAAGATAAAACAACGATTTCATTAATGGGAGCCTTGTTCTTGGAGTCTTAGATGAGGGTTTCGACGTTCTTGTAAAGAGCTTAAGCATCCTTCAAACAAGTAACAACATCGATCTTCAAGAGGTTCTTGGTAGGCTTGCATTCAGCAGCGATAGACTTAAGAATAGTAACAGCGGTAGCAACTTAAGTGAAGATTTCTTCGAATTTCTTTTCTTAGATGGCATCCTTAATAGCCTTAATGGTGTTAACTAATCCTTCAGTGTCAACAACGCAACCGTTAAGATCGGGGAAAGTAATAACGGGGATGTGTAAGTTGGCCTTAATACCACAACCATCAACTAAGGGTTATAAAGATTCAATAATGTTGTAAGATAAAACGACGATTTCGTTAATGGGAGCCTTGTTCTTGGAGTCTTAGATGAGAGTT